TAGTCCCTCATCTTCGTAGCTGCCTGTGTTATCTGAGGTTCAGATTGTATATAAAGGGGATGCTGGCATTATCTTTAACTTTTGGAGTGAACTGCTCTTGTCCGAATCAACAAGGTACAGAAGTATCGTGCAGGGCGGAGTGAGGGAAGCATGGAGTTTTTCTTTCTAGGGTTTTTATGCCTCAAAACATGATATAGTTCTACAAATGTGTAAATAAATGATGACGTTTTTGCAATGCATACCCTGCAGTCTGAGGAATGTTTACAGCAATATATTCTGCAGCAAAATCTGGGACCTCCAAATTACTGGAAAAGGAGACTGCAGCATGTAGAAGTTTTTAATGTTCTTATTGTCAAATTAGGACCCCGTTTGAATGTGTAGCTGCGGTCCATAGAGCTAGGAATTTCAGACATTGTTTCTATTATCCTTTGAATAGAAATAGTCAAAAGAATAGATCAGGAAGCCAGCAGGAATTTGGCCATCTGAGCAAAAAATAAGTGTGTCTAGCTCTCTTAGTTTTGTTTCTTTCTTTGTGAGCAATAGCTGGGATGGTTGTTCCATCTTATTTAATTCCAAAATAACACAGCTTCTCATTTAATTCTTTATACACAGTAGTAAAATACCATCTTTTCCCATATTTTTACCAGCAAAATCTGTAAATATTTCAGTGTCACATGAGGTGATGTATTCACCTAAATAATCCAAAAACAGGAGTGTTTTGTATACTAGTGTTTTGTCACTGAACTTTGCCTCGTTATTCCAGAAAAGTGATTTTCATTGATGCATAGTCAGAGCTAACGTACTCCCATCATTCATTCTAACATCAGTTCTTCCTTCCTGCAAATTGTACAGAACAGCATGTGAAATGTTTTTGGCATCTGTTCATTAAATGCAGTGAGAGCATTAAAAATGGAAGATCAAGTAATAGAAATTATTGTGTAGCTGGATAATCACCCCAAACTAATGTTTTAATTATTAGCAAAGCCAGTAGATGGCTGGTGGATTTTTTTTTTTTGGTTGGTATTTTTTAGTTGTTTGTTTGTTTTCAATAAATCTGAGTAATCTCTTAAACACAATTTCTAGCATATCTGTTGTCAGCATCATCTTTAATTGATAATGAACACAGTTGTTGGGGCATTTTACTGACTGCTTAAAACAGCTACGGGTAGCAGAGGGTGACCTGTTATCTCTTCATTGGTATGACTGGAATTTACAGGGCTAGGCTACAAAATTATATTAAATGGGACAGGATCCTGCTGCTTCTTCTCCTGTTCTCACTAAATAAATCTCTAGTGTTTTCCCCTTGTAGTTTCATCTTGGAGAAATTCATAACAGAGATTCCAAACTAGATGTGTCATTTGAATATGAACAGTTTTGTAAACAATGGCTTTTTCCCAAGTAAGATGTGTCTGAAGGTTGGACACAACATATTAAAAACTGATGAATTGACCTGTGCCCCACAGTGCCTGTTTGTGCTCTGAGCAGATGCACGTTGTGGCTCACTTGCACTTTTTTCATTTAATAAGTTTTCTTGCATTTACCCTATAGTAAGAGCATGCATGAAGGGGTTCTTGTTGAACATCTGATAAATGCATACCCTTCTTTAATTTGCTTATATYTCTGTGTTATAAGACCTAATTCCTTTGATATATCTGTCTGTAGGCAGAAGATGTTTTTTTGGTACATGTTGGAAACAGTTGTTTATGTAAGAAAGCTCTTGTGCTGTGTCTGTTGAGTTGTAAATAAAATTGTCTGTACTAGCCAGTCTAGATAACTACAGGTACGTGCTGCAGACACAGGCAAGGAAAGTGATAATAGTGGCCCATATTGTGTATTCCTTGATGCAGTTCATCAGTTGCCTGTATTGCGTATGTACTTCAGGCTTATCTGGGTTCATGTGGGGCTTGAACTAATCATCCCTTCTAGAGTGCTCAGAGATGCCCAGCTGGCCCTGCACCACTATCTCGCAAATGTTTCTGCATCTCTTGCTGCTTTTAGTGTTATCTTGCTTATCTCCCCAGTTGTTTGGGCATTGAAGACTTAGCAGTAGGTCTGTATTACGCATATAAATACTGTACCTCGTAGTCCTTCAATCAACATATGTTATTCCCGTTCTAGTGATGAAGTTGAGGTGTAAGATCGCTGTTTTCAAAAATCGAATGACGGTTTCAACAAGTTACTGCCAAAGATAAAAAGGGTACTGTAAGCATTAGACCCCTACTTTTGTTTTTTTCAGCTACAGTATCTGAATGTGTCTGGATAAGTAAATACACAAAGGGCAAAGTATTGTTTCCAGATAATTGTATGTTTTGCTTCTCTAACGAGTAGTAGTACTTGATGTTCTGTGGTAGTTTGGGAGTATTTTAGTGATCGGATCTCCTTAGCTTTGAAATGTTTTGAACAGATTCAGAGAAGCATTTAACTGACATTTTTCTSTTCCTAACATTTGTTAGATATTCAGAAATAGTGAGATCACTATGAAAAGTGAGTTTAGTCCGTCATAAAGAACTTCTTGATTTGCTAATCCTGTGAGTTGTCCGTCTTGATACTGGTTGCATGGGCCTGTCTGTCTGGGCTTCAAGGCCTTGGGCTGCCATTTTGGGAGGTAAGGAGTTAGCTGGGGATGGAAAGGCTGGAGTTTGTATTCTTTCTGCTCTATCACCCACTGCTATCTTCATGGATCTGACACTCTGTTTATCTGACAGTGCACTCAGTACTGCTTCGCCAGGGAAAATTGCACAAAACAAGGCCAGTGCATCAGCATTTTCATTGTGTATTGAGCTGAGCCTCCCTTCACATGGTCACATCCCCTTTTTAATCTGGGATTCCATGTCCCTTTCCCAGTCCAGCCTGTTTCTGTGGTGTCTATTGCTCGTCTCCCCGAGCTTCTGTTTCTGTGATTTGAGTGTTTTTTGTGTGGCTGAGTGTTTAGACCTGCAGGACTTTTGGRAGTGGTGGTGTTTGGGGTTTAGGCAATACTTGATTTAGGGCTGGTGGTTTGTGACAGACTGAGGTGATGGCTGCGTTCAAGTTGGATTTCCTCCCAGAGATGATGGTGGACCATTGCTCCTTGAATGCTAGTCCTGTGTGAGTATTTTCTGTCATTGTATCAAATTTTAAAGTTTTGTTGATGGTAGGAATTGCTGCCTTGGAGTTTTACTGTTTGATGAACCCTCCCTTGAAGAGAGGAAAAGAAAGGAATAGGAGAATTTGTCATGTTTTCTTGAAGACATGTTAGTGGGCATTGATAGCTGATATTGATTTCTGGACAGGGCAGAAAAATAATTACTGTTCTGTCAGTTAATTTGAGGGAGGAGGTTGTATGAGGGGAAAAAAGCTATTTGTCAGTACTGTGTACACCATATACCACAGGTGCTATTGCTGTGAAATCTGTGGTTGAAATCCACTGTTGGTGAGAACGATTCCACTTCTTCCCTCTTGATGGCTTTTAATCTGAATTAAAACTGTTGTAATTAGGGGAAAAAAAGAACCCTGGAAATACCGCTGGGGCCAGGTTAAAAATCACTCAGTTAACTGGAGCCGCCCTATACTCTTGAAGCTGCCCGTGGGAGAGAAAGCAGTGCTGTGAACTACTGCTGGAGGAGGCTAAATGATTTCCAGTTGCTCATCGCCCTTATGAACAAGCAAGTAGTTTAGCTCTTTGTAGAAGGTATTGTTTGCTTTGATGTTTGGGGTGGTGCCGGCCCTTTCTGAGGGGGAAGGTCAGGAGGAGTGAATGATTGATGATGATGATTCTCCTCCTTTCTAGTAGGAAGCCTTGGGCTTTCTGAGGTCCCTTTGTGGAGTTTGACAATTACAGAGTTCTTTCTGGCAGTGGCTCTGAACAGCAGCATGCTGAGGGAAAAGAGGGRGGAAAAATCTGCATCTACAAGTAAGAAGAATTTTGAAAAAAAATAGAAATTTATAACTTTTAAATTTCCTAGTTTGAGGAAATTTTATTATCAGAGAGGAATATGATTTCAGGTAAGCAATGGAAGGAGCTCTGTTTCCCATAACCTACAGGTAATTAGCCATTCAGTAAAAATTATTGAAGGAAAACAGCAAAGGGAGAGCCGACTGGCTAGTCTGGGAGAAGGCTGCTCGTACCTTGGAACAAAGAGTTTGGGCCGGGAGGCAAATCGTTCCATAGCTGCTGATCCCCTCCCATGTCCTTTCTAGATTATACAGGGATTGTCAGCAGTTTTATCGAACCAGTCGCCCTCGCTGCAGTGGGATGTCGCTGCAGACGGCCTCCYGCAAAGGCTGCTCCTGTGAGATGTTGGGCTTTGGCTACTGATAAGAAGACCTTGCACCTCACTTGGCAAACAGCAAGGAGTAATATAGACAGCAGTGTGTGGCTGACAGCTTCTTGTGTAGAGCAGGACACAGCCAGTTTTGCTAAGAGGCTGTAAATTGTTGACGTTGCTCAGTATGGTGCCTTGAATCTCTGTACTCAAAACTTCAATATTGCTGTAGTGTTAAGAAATAACTCCTCTGTGTTAGTGCTGGACTGTTACTTAATGCGATTCTCTAAGTAGATTGTCTAAGCCCAACCTGCCCAGTTTCTGCCATAACCTGAGGCTGTTTTTGCAAAACACTTGGTGTACGCCTTACATGGGACTCCTCATCTCTTCAGTTGGGTTCTCTGTTCCGAGATGGATCTTGAACCTGGGAACGCTTGCATATGGCCACATTGAATTGAACCTCACAACAAATTTATGTCCTGAATCTTAAATGGTGGCTGCATTCTAAGAGCAAACAGGAGAGGTTCAGCTGCGCAGGGAGCATTTGGTGTGAGTGATGTTTCTGAGTATTTTCCAATATGTGGGACTCTGAAGGTGTGAGAGTCTGTTTTTGCTTGTACATGCACACACATGCGTGTGCACATGTGTGTATATATAAATGAACATATGCACAAAATACACTACAAGATGCTTGTAGCCACAAAAGCAGGTTGAAACTGTGGAAAGATAACAGAAATTTCTTGTTGCTTTTTATAGCTCAAAGAAAATGAATGGCACACTGGATCACCCAGACCAACCGGATCTAGATGCTATCAAAATGTTTGTGGGCCAGGTCCCACGGAGCTGGTGTGAGAAGGATCTAAGAGAACTCTTTGAACAGTATGGTGCTGTCTATGAAATCAATGTCTTGCGGGACAGGAGTCAAAACCCTCCTCAAAGCAAAGGTGAGAATTTCTTACGTGAGACTTGAGGTTTCAACTTCTTTCACACAGGTCCATGCTTCCTTGTTGTTTTCTTTCAGGCATCCCTTTCTCTTGGAGCACTATGCACCCAGGTGTGCATGCAAGCCCAGACTTTACAGTCCTGAACTGTTTGTGTCTAAATATAGTTGTCCTTGGAGTGTGACCCAATTGTTAAACTGGGCTGACTTTTTGGGAGAACAGAAGTAATGGCAGTGCTTGAAGAGTGTAAATACATAGTGTRTAAGTGTATAAATGCAAAGAGGAACATGTTATGAACATTGTTTCACATCAGAGGGTCATTWTGGTGTTGTGGCATGCTACAGTGTTACAGGAACGTAACATTTTAGACCAGATACAAAAAGCTCTTGAATATTTCTTTCCATTGAATATTTTAAGAGGATGCTAATCCAATAACCTGACTAAATTTTATACTTGTTTTTAGAGTTTGTTAGTATGCAGTATTTTATTTCCAGTGAAACTAGGGTTAGTCTGGGTGCTATTTTGGAACTGTGGAAGCTTTGCATTGCAGGGATGGTGAGATCTCTTAAAATAACAGATGAAAACTTTGTCAAAAGCAATTGAATGCATGTGAGGAAAAGCTTATGTAGTCTTATTCTTTTTGTTCATGTATTAGTTATTTATAATAAATTTAACCAGATATTTATAATGTAACTTATGAGAAGGCAGATTTATCTATTGTGAGATGATCTTCAAGCTTGCAGCTGATGAGAACGTCTGTTTCAATTTCTACTGTTAAAAAGTTTGTTTGTTTTCCTTTAAGGTAAAATGTGAGTTAGAGGAAAAAGTAGACTGATACAGATTAATTATTAGGGAATAATTGCTTCTGGTCAGTGTCAAAAGTCATTGTCTTACACTTTGCAGCTAAAGTAAACAACAAAAAAGGAGCAGTGAGGTTTTGAAGTTTATGCCTCATGCTGAGACTCTAGAGTTATATCCTGGTTTAAAATTAGTAAAGCAGATTAACCTGCACTAACGCAATTCCTCTCCAAGTCCCTAAGACTTATTAAATGGATGAGTAAAGAGCGTTTAACCAAGGAAATAGGAATGGAAATGGTGATGGGTAGGACTGARTTATGAATACTGTTACACATAGTGTCCAGTCTCTGTGAAGAGAGAGGGAGGAGGTATCCGTGAGCGGAAAGAACGGATCCTCTGCTGCCTTGCGGTTCTGCAATGGCACCAGGAAAACAAAGTCTTTTCTTCAGCAGCAACAAAGAGTTYGAGGTTAGTGCTTGCTTGTGCAAATCAGGCCTGTGTTAACTGTACTTGGCTTTGGAGACAAATGGTTTATAATGAACCAAGAATTTTCAGTCTGGTGCCATCTTTATTTTCAAAATAAGTCATTTGAGAATTGCTGGAGTTCAACCACTTTGCATATCAAAGACCATTCAGAGGATATTAGAAGCTGTTTTCAGGATTCAGACCAAAKGAGACATGTTAATGACTGAAAGTAGGAAAATATTAGTACTGACCAGTATGTGCTTGTCATTACTGGCTGGGCAATTGAAGAGTCTGTATGAAAAGAGCAGGAGAAAAATCATTTTCAAAACATATTGGCTGGCAAGATGTTTAGGCAAGAGGTTTGAACCATCATACTGGACAGCAAAATACTGTACACTTATTTACGAAAGAGATGGCAGCTTTAGCCAGAAATTGTTTGGCAAAAGCATCATTAAAGCATGCAGTTGTTTAGCTACATATGAGTTATTCCCTCAGGTCTGCATAAGTTCAATTTTTTACTTATCAGGAATCTTTTTGTAAACAATCACAGTCAGTAATACCTACCTATTTACATGTCTACACTCTCTTGCGTGCTGGGTATTTTGCGTGAGAAGGGTAGAAGTGGGACTTGTAATTTCTGTACAACTCAGCAAGGTACATAGTGTGCTTTCTTGGCTAGTATTTTGTTTCAATTGCAGGGTGCTGTTTTGTTACATTTTATACCCGTAAAGCTGCACTAGAAGCACAGAATGCTCTTCACAACATGAAGATACTCCCAGGGGTAAGAGAAAAGAYGTATTTTTCTTCACAACTCTGACTTGGTTGAGCTCTGGCACCACTGATGTATAAACATATGTTATCTCGCCCTCTGAAGCTGTGTTTTTAGAGAGCAGTCTGAAAGAGCAAGGTTGAGATTTACATCTTAGAAATGCTTGCGGGAATAATATTGTAATTAAATGGGTGGTGTGGCTTCTATGGTAATAGTTTCTGGGCGGGAAAGATGGCACGTTGTTAGGAAGTATACAGGAAAAGTGCTCTTTCTTCTTCCAGAAATGTACGCGTTTGCACATATGCCGTTCTCTAGAATAGCCTCTCTTGCTGTCTACTAGTCTTGTGGGATGTATTTCATAAAGCAAGGTGAATGCATTTAGGATGAAATGCTCTTATTGTATTTCAGATGCACCATCCTATCCAGATGAAACCAGCTGACAGTGAAAAGAATAATGGTAAGTTTTATTAAAGTCTGAGTTTTATGGCATGATAATAGGGAAACCAGGATTTTCCCTTTTTTTCTTTTTTGAACARCTTCTACCAGAAGTCTTCATGAATTACAGACTTAATTTTAAAAAGTGTTCTTTTAGTACAGTAGATACTGTAAGTGATGTCTATAGTTCTATGAGTCTGCATCTCCTGTTGCTCGTGACAAAACTGTGATGCCAGTTAGAGAAACATCCAGTGAATTCTTGTTTCTACTGAGATGGTTTAAATTAGGTATTCTTTTTTTTCTGTTTTTTTTTTTCCTTTTTTTTTAAAGTCCTTTGCCAATTTGAAGCAAGGCCTGTTGCAGCTTCAGTGGGACTCAGAAACTCATCTTTTAACATACAAGGACAAAAGAGTGTTCAAAACGTTCTTGTAGAGAAAAGACTGTGAATCTACTTATGTATGTTACCCAGTCCATGTGGATTAAGATGTTGAGCATGTACCAGTGTATAAATCTTGATTTATATATGTATTTCCGTAATGACTTTTTTGTGTGTGTGTTTGAATACAAAGTTACATACACATACGTGTGTGCACACAAGAAAGTAATATTGCTGCCTACATCCTTGTGATTTAAGTCTTGTCAACTGAAATAGTTTGGAACTTTCTTCTTCAAGCTCATAGGCAACACAGTGAATAAATTRATTTCCCTGCTTTCCCCCATCCACTGCACAGAATAGAAGACTCTCCCTTGAAGCTTCAAACTGTGCAATGTTGTTCATTGTACTGTGATTTATTTTGTGTTGAATGTCGTATTTGTGAACTGTTTTATATTCCCAAATGTTATTATGGATACTTTGCTCCATCTCCTAAAAATGGACGTTTCAGATGGTGATTGGCCTTTTTAATCAAGTAAAATGAGAGGCATAAAGTTCTGCTCTGGATTTGAATTTATCTCACTCCCTCTAATTGACATCAAACTGACAATTGTAACCACTAACTGACAATGTAGGAGAAATGCTTGTGTCTGGACTGTTTATTTTAAAGTAGCCCACACACCGAAAGGTGTTCTTCTGCGCTTAGAGATAAGATATGGCAGCACAAGCCATCCGTCCTTCTGATTTGAGGTGTCATTTTCATGCTCTTACTACAGATTAGAATGGATGAATATGAAGCGGAACTAAAACAGTCGCTGTTGCTTCCACTGTTGAGACAGGATCATGAGGAAATAGGCAGAACTAAGTTTAAGTGATTGGATGAAGAGGGTAATCTAAAGGGCTAGACAGAAGCCTTCTGCAGGTAACTTGCTTGTTTAGATATAGGAAAGGTGTGCTGACAGTCTAGAGACAGAGATGGATGAGAGGATGCAAGTAGTCTAGTAAAATATGTAAAACTCTTCTCTCATCAGGAGGAATGGACAGTAGAAGATGAGGGAAGWGCACCATTTCTCTGAAACAGTTCTTTATTTTCTTACATACTTGCAGTTCACAGGCTTGCAATGAAGACAGTTTTATCTAAATATAACAATAAAACACCTATAGGCATTCTGCARGTTTACTGAAGTATCTCATACCTTTATAAAATGGATAAGATTTAGCTCCTGGGAATCTAGTTTCAACAAATCCCTACTCYAAATACAAGGGAAATAGTCCTACAATTGTCAAAGAAGACATTTTGACAAAACGAGGTTAATGTGTCATCTTCGGTCTTTTCCCCACTGCCTCATTAGCAACACTGTTTTTTGGCAGCTTTACCTTGCTGAAAGTGTTTTGCTTTTATTTTCTTTCCATTATTTCAGCTATTAGAAAAGACAAGGTAGAGCTGAAAAGGGCCTACAATACAAGGAAAGCTATGATCCAAGTTCTGCCTTGATGCAAGTGCTTCTTTGTTAGTAATACTCTTTATCTTTTTGATTTCTTAGCAGTAGAAGATAGGAAATTGTTTATTGGAATGATATCCAAGAAGTGCAATGAAAATGATATCCGAGTGATGTTCTCCTCCTTTGGACAGATTGAAGAATGCAGAATATTACGGGGCCCAGATGGTCTCAGCCGAGGTAAGCACGAAGCCCTTCTGACTGTTCAACATTCTCCACTCTCTCCTCTGGCAGCTGCTATGCAGCCTAAGGTAGCATTTCAGCTGTTTCTGTGATTTCTCCACCCACCCTCTATTCCCCTCATAAGCTTTTGCATTTCTTGGTTTGTCTCAGTAATTGTGAGTATAATGAATGACTTGTTTGATGTTTTTGTTTTGTTTTCTTTTTCCTCAGGTTGTGCATTTGTGACTTTTACGACAAGAGCCATGGCACAAACAGCAATCAAAGCAATGCACCAAGCACAAACCATGGAGGTAAATCTAGTTAGTGACTGGGAGGAAAAGATGTAATGGGCCAGGCAGTCACTGTGGAGTTTAGGAGACTAGGGAACAGACAGAAGTGTAATGGGAGTCTCTCTACAAGTATTCCTTCTGAAATATTGTGTTTGCTCAGCTCCTATCTTTAGAGTTCAACATAGACACTTGATCTGCAGAGAAAATACCAAAATAAAAATAAACATTAAAAGAGATTTTGAATCTTTTAGAAAATTTGTGACATTTGGATAGAAGAGAAGATAATATATATTATTTGAGCATATGTAAGAAGAAAAAATTATCTTAGTGACTAGCTCTTAATGCAATATTTCTGTGACTACTGGAGGGATAGCAAGGTGGTAACTGTGAATTACTATTTGCAGGGTTGCTCTTCTCCCATTGTGGTAAAATTTGCTGACACGCAAAAGGACAAAGAGCAGAAACGAATTGCTCAGCAACTCCAGCAACAAATGCAACAGATCAGTGCTGCCTCTGTATGGGGAAATCTGGCTGGTCTGAACACGCTTGGACCCCAATACTTAGCAGTGAGTTTCTAACTTTGATTCCTTTAATATCTTTAGGGATTATGGTGTCTGGTTGTCGTATAGTGTTTAATGTGTTCATTCTCAGAAGACATTAGGTAGATAGATGCAGGGTTTTTAATCCCCGTTTTGTGGTTGGGCAGGCTGAATCACAAAGAAATCAAGTTATGTACTAATAGTGACTCAGGATGTGTCTGACAGGGAAGTTTTTAACCCCAGTCCCTAAAGCCCTGCACACAGAAACATATTTTCCCTGCCTTCAGTAGAATGACTTTGTGCTGGGGAGATTTTCCTCGTATGTTGTGGCCTCTGTATTTATCCAGTAGTTCTTGCATGCCCTTTCATGTCCATCTGATGACCTAGGTTTTGTATTCCTCATCCATTGTTCCTTCTCCAACATTTATTTTTTTCATACTCTTCCAGTTAGACTTAGTACAGTATTTGGTGCTGTGTAAATAGAAAAGGAGGTCAGGTGCAAGTGCTAAGCAGCTCACAGTGCTATTGCCTCTGACTCACGTGGATTGTCAGGGTGACTGTGAGAACTGTTCTCGTGTGATGTGAAGGTTTGGGGAACAGAAAAGAAAAAATTGACCTCACGCTTGCAATGATGTACTACTGGAATGAGTACAATCCTTCCTTCATTGGAATTTCTTTGTAACAACAACTAGTTAATGGAGAAAGGAATGGGAAATCCCTCTAAATAGCCTCTTAGTTGAGATTTATTTCCCTTGTGTGGTTGCTGTGCCCTTTTGCTTGAGGGCTGTGGAGGGAATCCCCTCACGCAGCAGCTCATTGGTTTTGTTATGGCATCTGGCAGTTTTCCTGTGCCAGTAACATCAGCTGTAAAGTCTGGCTTGAGGTAGTGTGTTCTTAGCAGTGGCTCTGCTGGCTGAGGTGCTTTGAAGGGGATTCTTGTTCACTGCTGCTGATTCTAGTGGTTTTGTCTTGGTGCACTAAAAACTAACTTCTCTTCGGCTCGTTCCCTGATCCTGCTAAGTGGGGAAAGCTTTCCTTGGGCTGTTGCTTTGGTTGTGGTGTGCTGCATGGGCAGTGTGGACTACCCTGTGGTGGTGCTTTGGCTGCAGTGTGTGAGGGGACTTCTCTTCCCTCTTGGCTACGGGGTGATGCACTGGCAGCGGGAACTCTCTGTGACGGCGCTCTGGCTGTGGTGTGATGCAGTTTCTCCCAGAAGCGGAGCCAGCCCTCACTCTCACTCTTGTTTTGTTTTTTGGTGTAATGTCTAGCTTTATTTGCAGCTCCTTCAGCAGACAGCAGCTGCCTCATCTGGGAACCTGAACACATTGAGCAGCCTCCACCCAATGGGAGGTGAGTTTATTTCCACCAGAAGACAGATTCAATGCCAAAGTCAAAAGGAGCAGGGTAGAGGAAGCAGTCAAAATGCTGAGACATTAACCCTAGTTGTAATAAGTACTCCTGATATATCTACTCCCTTGGAATGACGCAATCCTCTGCTACAAGTGTGAATATTCTTTCTTAACCTTAGTTAATCATTGTCCCCAAGGTAAGTTGTGGTATGCTGTTAATCTTTCCTACCTCTGGTATTTGTTCAAACAGATACAGATTTGAGGCATTATGTTTTGAAATRAACACCCTGGTACATGAATTTCAGTGATGATGGCTTCCTGAGGTTTCCTGTTTTAAAATATTTCTTCTTAAATGCCTCAAAACTGTAAATGCAGTGTTGCAAGGGAAGTGAATTAGTCCTTCTCTTGGGATGTATCCTGAATTTGTGTTGCATGATTGATTACAATATTGCTAGAAGGAGGGACATGCTGATGTAATTGAATGTATGAACTAAATTCCTTTCTATAGACCGCTAGTCAGCATATTCACCAAGTATAGCAGATGAAAATAATATAAGGAAAAACATCTGAAGTAAGTTAAACTTAGATACTTTAGGGATGTGGAGATAGCAAAGAAGTTGCTAAACTGTGGCTATGAATTAATGGCCCTTCCGTCTGTGAGACCCATGTTAGTATCCCCATTCACTGCATTCTGTATGTTTATCTGCAGATAAAGAAAAAAAAGAAAAACTTCTAATTATGATTTTAATGCTGAATATTTTAAACTTTTAAAACCGCCTCCTAGAAATATGGAGTAATCCAAAGTATTACATGCTGCACCTGCAAAGAAGTCAATTTAAAACTGCTATGAAATTGTTGTCTCTTGTGTATCTGACTTGTGTATGTACACCCATCAGTAACAGCTAAAAACTTTTGAAGTGTTATGTCCTTTGTTATAAGAATTTGTATTTGCCTTTGAGGTTAATTCTAACCAGTGTCTCTTACATTTACATTTTTTCTTTTCATGTTAGACTTCTACAGAGTTCTCAGGTCTAAGTATCTCAGACTCTTCTGTTGTACTATCCTGTTTCATATGTGGTGGTGATCTTGATAGATTTTTGTAATGAACAAGATGATGATGCTTTTTTCTTTCTTTTACTGCAGTAAGGATCTAGTTGAGGTTGCATATAAAGCTTTCAGAGTTGTTCTGTAGTCATTGTTAAAGAATATCATAAAAATTGAGAACTGTTGAGTGTATATAGCAAATTGAAATGGGAATCTTTCATGGTGCTTTGAAATAATTATTCAAAGACCAGATCTTCACCAAAAGAAGTTTAAAAGTCTCATTAATATCTCAGCTGAGATTTCTTTCACAAAATTCATAGAAATCTCTGTATCAGACTTAACAGACAAAATTTAATCTTGACCCTATTTGAAAGCAGATGGGAAAACAATGTGATGAAAAGAGGACAGGTGCAATGTACGCATGCCAAACTGCTTCAGAAAGGAAGCAAGCTGCTCTATCCTTCAGCAGCTCTAACTCTGAAGGAGCTCTAACCCTCTCTAGCACAATAAAAACAGCAGGACTTTCCTGTTTTGACTTCATGCTCTTCTTTGTGTTGCAGTAGCATCTTGAGAACACAAGTAGTTACGATCCTCTTGTTTTAGACATTAAATTTGGTCTACAAAACAGATCCTTCCACCAAAAGAAAATAATTTTAAAACATAATAAATTAAGTATGATAATGGTAATAGAAGTTATTGAGCAGGTAGTTGATATTGCATTGAATCATTGTCCATTTACATTTTCCTTTTATMCATTTACTTTATTTCCAAACAGATATTTGAATCTTTTGAAATGCATGCTTTGCTACTAGATACTTCCTGAGCATCCAAAAGAGGGGTAGATGCTATGCCTACCTTTAGTGGTTGTTACATTAATAGTGATTGAAATTAAATCCAAAATCAAGTCTATAGGACGGAAAAACTACTAGGGATTGGCTGAAGTTAGATGGGAAGAGGAGAATCTGTTAGAATAAGTAAAGTTAGAGACACAAGATGGAAGTAAGGAGAAGGGAAGAGAGGCAGAATAGGAAGAATAGAGCTAGCCTTCTGGATGGATAAAACACAGAAGTCCTGAGGAGATGAGTAKCAGGCAGAGAAAGAGGGCAAACTGCTTTGTCAGTATTGAATGAATGGTTTATTTGGAAGCTGTGACTCAAAATGAAGATGAGACAGATGAGTAAATTGTCTCCTAAAAGTTCATTAACACTAGGGCATCTTCCTTAACTTAGCATCACACTTATAACTAAGAGTATTTTGGGAGGAAGAACGCTGCTTGGAAATTGTTCTCTGGAGTCTGAATCTTGAATCATGACTATTCGCAAGAGATTGCAGTGTGGAAAAGGTCAAGAACTGGTATAGAAGGTTTTTTGTTTAGTTTTTAAGTTCGTCTCTGTACTGACTGATGGCCTTATGATGTGCTGAGGTTGCTGGGTCTGATGAGCCTTCTTACCGTCACAGCAGCCGCTGCATTTTCCCCTGTGTTGCAGGCCTGAACGCGATGCAGCTCCAGAACCTGGCCGCTCTGGCCGCCGCAGCCAGCGCGGCCCAGAACCCGCCGAGCGGCACCGCTGCGCTCACCTCCTCCAGCAGCCCCCTGAGCGTGCTCACCAGCTCAGGTAAGAGGCTGCCTGCACCAGGGCCACGCGCCTTCCCTGGCCTCGGGACTCACTCCACTGGTTGGTGATTTTTCTTTCTTCAGGCCACGTATGTTATCCAGAGAGACTAGGTTTCCTAAACAGCGTCCTCCTGATAACTTACTGTGAAACATGCTCATTAAAAGCAACAAATAGGGGAGAAATGCTTTCTGCAGTGTGTTGGAGGAATATAGAACCAGAATAATAGGTTATAAAGAAGAAAAGCTGCTTAGAAACCTTTATGTCACAAGGTCAGGAATTAAACTTTGAGTGTTTTGCCTAGTTTTCTACTTGAGAAATCCCTGAGAGAGGSCTCAAGGAGTCTTGTTAATGGAGTTTATGCCACTTGGAAAAACAAAACAACACTTAAAAACAAAACAAAAAGCTCATGGTCTGTAATCCTTAAAGATAAAAAAATCTAAAACTTATCCTATATTTAGAACCTTCTACTGTTTCCTCTCAGAGAAAGTATGAACATGAATATGTTTGTGAATCCCCCAATGCCTTCCTCAAGTAGTAGCAGAGCTGAAATGGTCAGGTTACTTCAGCTATGACTGGCCTTTGGAGCCATTCCTTGTTGGCTCCAGCCTCCACTGAGCTCACATGCCTCACACATGCTGCAGAAGACAGAGCCAAATTCTCCCCAGAAGTGCACAGCAAAAGGACAAAAGGCAACAGACACAAGTTGCAAGAGTGAAAATTCTGACTGGATATAAAGGAAAATAATTAATGTGAGAGCCATGAACGCAGGAAGCAGGTGCCCAGAGAGACTGTGCAATCAGTCAGCTGAACAAAGCCCAGAACAGCTGGATCTGGCTTTGAAGTTAACTGTTTTGAGCAGACAGTTGGACTAGATGATCTTCAGAAATTACACTATGATTTTATGATTCCTTGGGATTGACTAGTCTCTGTGAATTTTGTCTTCTGTGAATGTCCCACAGCATTTTGCAGGTTTTGTTTCCAGACTTGTTTTGGGACTCTCTTACCCCRTTAATCACACTGGCTGGCAAGGAGCTAGGTGGTGAGGAACAGTGGTCCATTTTCAAGGACCATCTGTTCAAAATCTAAACAAATTTATGATAGCTTGCCATGACAATAGCCTGCCAATGAGTGAATATCCTAGAGAGTCGTAACAATTTACCCTTCACAGTCCTTTAATCTGAAGCAGTCACTGCTGTATTACTCTTAACCCCTCTTTTTTAGCATATTTTCCAAGAGTAGAGATTGACTTTATTCAAGAGAAAAGGAGGAGAAAAAAGAAAGAAATTCTGGAGGATATATGGTCTGTTTGATCCATCACAATCTGAAAGTTTTAGGACTTTTCATTAGAGATGAGTGTGTTTGACCTTTTAAAAACTGTACATAAATTGAGGGGGGAAAAAGCCTCCATGAATATGGGCAACAGTTGGGTTCATAACATCTTATTGTTATTCATTATAAATCGTTATAGCTCTTCACTCTGCACAGGCTATTTCTTATCTGTCACAAAAGCAAACTTGAGGTTCTCTTTTGATTATGTGTGTGTTCACACTGCATGTGTTCGCACAGAAGAAGCTGTTAGACTTCACACTAACCCGGAGCATCCATTTGGAACCATACTTAGACCTCAGAAGGAAAATCAATGTATAGCCATTCAGTGCCACGTAAATGACTTTCTTGTCTAAGTGGACCATATGGCAATATCCACTGTGATAACCTCTTAGACCTAACTGCAGATGAGATGACTACTGGCTTGACTTCTATCCATCTGTCATCCAAATGTTCACCTGATGCTTGTTTTGACATCTATCCCAGACTGTCCTCAAGTAACATAATTGGTGGAAAAATCCAGACACTAGGAGCCACTTGAATTTTCACTCACACTGATAATCTTCTGTGTGTTGGGGAACTTGCTCAGAGAGCCACACAGGGCAGGCTCTGTGGTCTAGACCTGGGATACCCATCACTATTGTTGAATTCAGAGATGTTAAGTATTCTTGTAGTGCTGTCTTTCTGCACATTCCAGGTCATCAGGGTTTTTTTAGATTTTTCACATGCAGGGAGTGATTTGGTGTTTCTAATGCAGAACAGCATGAAGCAAAATTCCTTCAACTGCCAAATCTTCCCTTTGGAAATTAACAGTCCACTGCTGCTTTCTCCTGTGGGTCATCCATATTATAGAGACTATGATTTTAGCAGATAGCCTTTCATTTAAACTGCTGATTTTTGAATGAGGCATTCAAAAACGATATTATGGAAGTATTTCAGGACTGGAGCACCTTGGAAGCAATGTTTTTCATTTGGACATCAACAGGAATTGTGTGCTCCAAAGCAAGATCACATGTGTGGAAATACTGKTTTTTTTCTCCTTTTCCGTTCTTTTAAGGGAACCATCAAAGMCTAGATAATTTTAGTTGCCTTAGAGTGTCCTCAGCAATATTGTTTTTAAGGATGTGTGAGTCTTTCTACTCTAACTGGAAGTACCTCTGTTACAGTTCTGTCAGATTCATTGTCTGGATTTTAATGCTCTTTACTTTGTTGCTTGGATGCTTGATGACTGAGTGAGGACAGACTTATTCTTTCCAGACAAGCACCAGGAAAATCCCTTAATCTGCCTACCTCAACAAGTTCGCAGTTAATATCCCTGTCCTAGTTTCATCATCTTTTCCAGGTATTCTTTACTACTTATTAAAAAATTTTGAAAGCCCTCTGTCCTTTCAGTGTTGGAGTTCATTCACCAGCCATTTTGATTTTGGCCATACATCTTCAAAATGAGGATGATTTTGCCTCTTTTGTTGTCAGTCATTAAAATAGCTCCTGTTACGAACAGAGCCTTGCAGTGGGAACTTTAAATCTTGCCACTKTCCTGCTGTCCGGAAAGCCCTTTGAGCTGGTGGTTGCAGGTCTCCTCGTCTGCTCCCTCACGACGGCAATATGTCTGGTAGCTAGCACCCTAGCCAAAAAGGTAGGGAAGATGCATGGTCAGATTTCCTTAAACTGTTTTTCTGTGACAAGTGACAACACAGTGAAACTGTGATGTCTGATTCCTGTTTATCCTAGGAGGTGAATCAATTTAGCTTTTTTCTTTCATATATGCTGTTTCCTGTGTAGAAGTAACAATGTTTTCCTTTTATCTAATGCCATCTTCTTATATCATCAGTGCAAAAAACTTTGTAAGAATTCCTTGTCTTTGTGTTCACAATGGAAAGGATAAAGAACATTTTGGTCTTCTTGTAGATAATTTCACACTAGKTTATAGTCTAATAGTGATCCTTTGTTTTCTAGGGGTCTGCTCAGCAATAATTCCAATTAGCAGTGATTTCTTAATGTATTATTCCAGTAGCTGACTGTTGTAGGGTGACCATCAGGGTCCGTGTGTKTTTTTGCTCCCTGCTGCTTTTTCACTTCAGAATACTATTTATTCTTTGAGTTTTCCTTTGACTGGGAGAAATAGAGAGAAGAGCCATTGCTCTGCCCTTTTCATTGTCCCATACGAGAGGATGAGGCTTTGGAGCATGATTTACAGATACTGCTTGAATTGAGCATAATCAGTGTTAGGTTTGAACTCTTGTTTTGGACAATGTACCCCCTCTAGGGAACACMTATGTAAGGTTCTACATCTTGTGGAGGTACCTTTACAAGATAAATCACTAGATGATAGAAACCAAGAKGGATTTCTAAGAAAATGTAAGTTTAATAACAAACCAAAAGAAAAAAAGTGAAACAATGCTAAAAATTAGGACTTAAGTGGAAGATATGTATACACTCAATTTTCTGTTAGTGTGTGTTAGAGTTTTTTCATTTGTTTTGCCTTTTTTCCCCATTTGAGCTAAAAGAATGTACTAGAACTACAAGAACTGTGGAATTCCTTCCCCATTCATAGCAACTAAATAGCGAGAAAAATAGATTGGTGACACAGACAGGTGGATATAATGGAAGCCTATAAATATATTAGTGGTGTGATAAAGATGAATAGGAAAAGATTAGTCACTGGATTTTCCAAGACAAAAGTTCCAGGATATCAARTGAAGTTTTCAGCTGATAGTTGAAAAATGTAAATGAAAAAATATGTTTCTGCACATAATGCATGTTTAAATCTTAGATTTCAGTGCCACAAAATAGAGTAGAGCCAAAAGTTTGGGGACTCCAAATGTACTGAAATTCATGAATGAAGATTGTAAGCCAAGACTTAATATTAAAGTAGTTGTCCTCAGCTGCAGAAGCCTTGAGGCACAGGTTGTTGGAAGCTGTGAGAGTTTGGCCACAAAGTATTGCTTTGCAGCTGCCTATTTTCAGGACATATACATGTTTTCCTTAAACACATTTCTGATGAAGTTAGCTAACTAAAATAACTGTGTATTTAATTTTTTTTTTTTTTTTTGTAGTAGTAGTGTACATGAACTGATACAAAGTTATAACCCTTTTAAAGTAGGCAAGAAATATATTTTTTCTGTCTTTGTTTTCTAGCTTTGGCTTCGTTCTTCTGCCCCTACCACTACCTTTTTGAAATAATGTTTTGTCTGTCTCAAATGAAGTGTCAGTTTAAATTATGTAGCTTAACAATGAACTGTTGCAGAAACAAATCATATTCTGAAATTGATGTGACTGTGCCATGTCTGCATGTTGGATTTTATTCAGCTGACTGTGCTATTTTTCTAACAACAGGTAAAATAGCAGCTAACTAGTTCTCTGCATTTTACATTTAACATGCTACAGGTAGTAACACAGGAAGTGTTTCCTTTTTCCCCAGCATCTTGAAACATGCATCTGGATGCTCTCTTTCAATTTCAGACTTGTTAAGGTTATCTAAAGTTTTCCCTGGGGGAGATTTGTCACTTCCTCTGTCAGCACGAAAGCCGAAGTCTAAAGTGTAGTTCCCTGGGTTCTCACGCACCTTTTATTGGTTATAAGGTTTTAACTTGCCCTCRCTTGGCAAGTATGCATTTTTTCACTTAAATAGTTACTGTATTCCTCTCCAGTAAAAACTTTGTCTAACGTCTGTGAGGTGATGAGGATGTAGTGCATGCAAACCCAGTTGAAAAAYGTGGAAAATTCTTTTCAAAGTTTTAATGGGTATGCAAAGCATACTGAATATTACAAAAGCAAGAAGGAAAGAGAAAATGTCTGAATTTCAACTCTTATGTTGCCACAGATCAGACAGGAAAGKTTTTCTAGAAAGTTGACTATAAAGATTCCCCAATGGCAGTAATTTTCAGTATCTTTTCATTTGTAGAATCCCGAAGTGTTTTTCTATGAGTCTATTACAGTAAATGTATGTCTTCTAGCAATAAGTATAATGTTTTTTCTTATTTACCACCTTCTTCAGACTTTTAAGTGGTGATCTATAATCACTTTTATCATGTCAGTAATCTTTGTGATGACTTAAACTTGAACCTGCTGCTTTTTCTTGATTTTGGTGTTTGTTCATCTAGAACTAGCTCAATCTCTTGTAAAATTTGTCAGGTCATATAAACTGTTAGTCTGCTAGGGAGAGTGTTTTTAAGACTTTGCTTAGTGAATAACGTGACTGAGGATGTGTGTGTTACAGTTGATAGAGAATAGACTTTGTATTTTGGGTGTGTGTTCCAAGACTTTTCTTGGCACTAACCCTGGCTGCTGCAGCAGCATTTTTATAGCGAAAAATTATTTCATGTGTCAGAATAACCTAGGCTCTGTCGGTATGGAAAAAACATATGCTCAGTTTCAACTGGGGCCTTTTTTTTTTAATGTCTGTACTATCTGCTTCAGGTTTTTTCACCTTGTGATGTTTCAAGGAGAGATGTCAGTATGCAGCAATTCTTATCTCACTTCAGTCAGCAGGAAAGAGRCATTGTGGCTGATCATTTTATGCTGAGGAACAAAGTTTAGCATRTATAGATTGAATTTTAGGTATCTTACTCTAGTAAATTGTAACATTTCTTGTAGCAATAATAATGAGGTTTTTTGGTTTTGGTTTGTTTTTGAAAACACAAGAAAGGGTTAAATGGTAAGTGGTGTGATCAGTTAGGTTTTGGGTTTGGTATTTTTAAACATGAAGTATACTCTGCCTTGGTCTGAGCAGTGCTAACTTTTTTTATAGTAATAACTTTATGAGAAAGCTTACTTGTCAAGACCAAGAAACATTGCTTGAAGTTTAATTATCTTATTTTAATAGCAGGTTCTTCACCTAGCTCCAGTAGCAGCTCTTCTGTTAACCCAATGGCTTCTCTTGGAGCATTGCAAACACTGGCAGGGGCTACTGCAGGCCTCAATGTTAGCTCTCTAGCAGGTAAGTTACATGTTTTGGTGAGTAGAGAAAAGAGCAGGTTAGCATTTCTGAAGCTGTACTAATKCAGCTTTTTCCTGCTCCTTGCCACTTTAACTCTTAATATTCTGCATTATTATATCTGGCTAAGTGGCCATAGTCCATCGTCTTTATTTTCTTTCCCATACAGGAATGGCAGCCTTAAATGGAGGACTTGGCAGCAGTGGTCTCTCCAACGGGACAGGGAGCACAATGGAAGCCCTCACCCAGGCCTATTCTGGAATCCAGCAATATGCTGCTGCCGCCCTGCCCACGCTCTATAATCAGAGTCTCTTAACACAGCAGAGTATTGGTGCAGCAGGAAGTCAAAAAGAAGGTAGGCAGAAAGTTGTGCAGCTGCTTCACAGAGGTAGCCCAACCTTKCAACCACTTTATCTGCAGAGCATAGTTTAAAATTGAGTCTCGGAAGATAAAGAAGGAAAAACTTTATCGTCTTTCTGTTAAGAACTATCCAATGCAGATGCTGTATAGGTGACTTGTCCTTTGATTGTCTTGCCTTAAATGCTTAGTAATGGTACCCCCCACACACACTTTCTCAGAGGAGAGTGGGGGTCTTCAGTCTAACACATCCCATTGTCAGGGAATTAGATGCATTTTTTCTTAATTCGACTTTGTTGGTATTTCTGAATTTGGACCCCTGTGTCTTTGTCTTTCTCTTCCCAGTGTCCTTAACGCTCATCTTTTTTGCTCAGTGTAAAATAACAAAGAATCCCCATTCAAATCCCCATCTAAAAATAGATTTTTAAAAGACGATTAGGAAAAAAATGTAGAGCAAGGGAAGAGARCTCATATAGATAATATGACTACTTGTAGCTTACTGAGATTTATTTAGTCACTTTTTGCAGCAGATGTGGTATAGCCATTTTTTTGTTTGTCAGCCCCTAGGCCTCAGGCTTATTATTTGGCCTTTGTTRCACCAAATATCTGTAAGTGTTTTTTGATACACTATGGAAATTATAAGCAAAAGATGCTGGAGGAAGAACTAGAATTATTTCAATGGTCTCAGCAGTAGATCACACTGACTTACTCTAGGATTCAGTATGATGCASAAGTGTCCACGGCAAGGGCATTGTTCTCTGTGGAAGATTCAGTTGGCTTGAATGGTGCTTTCACCTTTTTTTGTAAAGTAGGCCAGTGTTACCCATGCTTTCTTCTGAACTTATGCTTGTGCTGGTTATTTGCAGGTCCCGAGGGAGCCAATCTGTTCATCTACCATCTCCCCCAGGAGTTTGGGGACCAGGATCTGCTGCAGATGTTCATGCCATTTGGAAATGTTGTCTCTGCCAAGGTTTTCATTGACAAGCAGACCAATCTAAGCAAGTGTTTTGGTAGGTTGGGACTAATCATTACCTGTAAAAGGGAATGCAAAGTAGGAAGACCAAGATAGCTGAAAATGAGAAGTTGATGTTGCTCTGTGAGGGGAAAATGTTTGAAGTTCATAGGGAGAGACAAGAAATAGTAATGACAACTACRTATTCACTTTTCTAAAATACTTTTAACTGTTTTGTTTGCTTAATTTTAAGAAAGTTCTGTGTTTTAAGACCACAGTGTTAAGTGATGTCATCTACACTGGTATGTGTGACTCACTGAGTTTTCCCTTTTCCCATCCTGTTATCTCCTGTACTTTGTTTGCCAAATTGGACCTCACTGTAGTGTGTGCCTTTGGAATTTGTGGCTTGTTTTTGTTAGTAATCTCTTTTCCAGTATTTTGTCCTGTCTAGCTTTTAAGTTGTGAATCTTTCTTCATGTACCTTAAAAAAAAAAAAAAAAAAAAAAAAAAAAAAAAAAAAACTCTTCAAAAAATAAAATATATCTTCCTCGTGCTTATTGAGAATTTTCCCTGTCCTTAATTTCGTATTATTCAACCTTGCTATACCATTAGGTATACTAGGTAATTCACCGTGATTGGTGTTTGCAAACTAATCATGATATTGTTTTTCCTCTACCCCTTTCTACCTTTTCAGTAATTATTTACATTGATGTGCATATTATTTGGATTTATTATAATCATTGTGAGTTATTTCTATTTATACTTTTATATTATGTGTAAARTATAATAGAGAGCACTTACCTCTGATCTTGTAAATGCTCAGAAGGCATTTTTTTAAAGCTTCCTTCTAATTTTTGAAGCCTTTGTCATTCAAGTAAAATCATTTCAGCTGGTATTTGCTACCTATTTTATGTTGCATTTTTTATTCTGATTTTGCTCTGCCTGGCATGTGTTGGCTTGGAAGTGTAACAGGGCAGGAAGTGTATCCTAAACCAACCTGTCACGCTTGTAATTATCCAATTAAATTGTTTTCAGTTAGCTGCTTAAGTTCATGTTGCCACAACAGCTTGRCTAGTAGAAGGCTGTGTGCACAAAATGAGATTTGGAGGTTTGTTTTCCTTTCTTTGGAATCTCAGGGATAGCCAATGTGTCATTTTTGGAGTTCAGTAAGGTCTTGTCACTGTTGTGCTAGGGGAGGTTTTCTATGTTGCAGGTCAGCCTTTTTTCCATGGTAGCCTTGTGCTGCTTCATATCTTGTATCTTCTAGTTCTGGGTAATCAAAACATGCTAGCAAGCTAATTATTTTTAAAAGACAAAGAACGTACCGAGGCCATAACATCTGTGTACGGAATGATCTCTCCGTAGACAGTGACATCAGCCATCGCCCGGAGTTAGGTACTTAAGATAGGTTTGGGTTTCTTCAAAACCTGTCTGAGGTTGTCTTTCTCTGGAATGAAATATAAAATAAAATACAGCCTACATTTCCAGTCATGAGTAAACAGTATGGAGAACTGTGCTGTAATTTTATATTTTGCTTTCTCTAGGTTTTGTGAGTTACGACAATCCCGTCTCTGCACAGGCTGCCATTCAGTCGATGAACGGCTTTCAGATTGGCATGAAGCGYCTGAAAGTGCAACTGAAGCGCTCTAAGAACGACAGCAAGCCATACTGAGCGCCCCTCCCCTCCGGGACTGGAGTGAGAAGGATCTTCTGGTAAGTTGGGGAGGAGCGCACATAGTGATTCGAAGCCCTAAGGCTGTGTTTTTGCAGTCCTGGAAGCTGATCCATGCCGTTCTATCTGGCACATCTTCCCCTGAAGACTCGGCTGCAACCTCTGCTGGGAATCCTGCTTCGGATGGAGGACAAGTTTGTGCTTTTGTTTCCAGTGTTTTACTTTGGAGTTTAGGTGCCATATCGCTGAGGTTTTTTTTCCCTTATTTAAAGTTTGCTGTGTTTGTAACCAGTGTGTGTTGAGAAGGACCAATGCCAGCTCCTTGGGGGTGGAGAGGTAAGGTAAAAGGGAGCAGCAGAAACCAACACCACACTGCCTTGGGGTGGAGAGGAGAAGGGGAAGCAGAAATAACGCTGAACAGCTGATGAGAACAAGGATGGTGAGAAAGGAGACCTGAGTCCATCCAAGTCTGGCTGAGCAAGGAACAGACTCCACATAGCCTTTGTCATGCCCCACTCTTTGAAGCTTCCTTATCTCTCTGCCTTTGTGGGGATTTAATAATTCATCTCTAAGCAGGAGACAGGCTAGAAGAGTGAACACATTTATGAGTTAAAGGAAAACTGCAGTTTTGGGGGCTTGTTTTTGTTTTTGCGCTGTATAAAGTGGTGTTTGTGTAGCACTGTGAACGTATGCAGCACTTTCATAAAGTAATGTCTCAGCTCAGAAGATTTCACTGCAGTTTACCACTGAATATTAAGGAGATGGAGTGAATTGTTCCATGCCTAGGAAAATTATCCCTATATAATTCAGTTAGGTATTGTAGAAAGCTTTAGAGAGACACAGCTTAATCTGGAGGAGTGGATACAAGTAGAGATGGAAACAAGAAACTTTAGAACCCTGACAAACTAGGAATATTTTTTGCCATATATTTTTCCTGACATTTTCTCAAATTCCCCCTTTCTGTGGAGTAATATCCTTCTACAGAGCATTGCTTTATATTCATTCTGATAAGCATAAGACTGTTCCTCCGTTGAAATGACTGTTAAATATACACAAAGCCAAGTGTTTACCCTAAAACAACTCTTTGAGACTCCTGCTTCATACATGTTCACATGACAGTTGCTTTTTCAGTTTTACTGTGTTGCAAAGAATTCTTTATTTAAAAAAAAAAAACTATTTTGTGGAGTGGTTTAGTCTAGTATTTAGGTATTTCTTTAAACTGCAGTTTTCCTTTAAGGTGATGTGTGCCAGTGCAAAACAGGAATAACACAGGAGCTGTTGAACCATAGCAGAGCACTGAGCCATCCCGTCTTATTCTGCCTTTTGGCATCATCTGTTGTCTTCTATACTGAAGAAAAAATTCAACACAACCCTCCAGTGAATATAYGCTTTTTTTGCACACTTATGAAATGCTAATGTGTTGCTAAGGGCCTTGTTATACACTGGTTTTGGGGGACTCAAAGGATTTTTGACACTCTGGCCTGAATCGTTTGAAGGAGTCCCGTGTTATAACCACCAAAATCCACCTCTGTCTGAAGAGAAAGTTTACAATTTATGTATTTCTTTGACAGAAGTTCTATTTACCTCATATTTTCTCCATTTCCTTGTTTCCTTTATATTCCCAGTTGGTGATGCTGTTTCCTAGGGCACCAGATAACACTACAATCTGGGAGCCAGCTGCTAAATGAGTGTGGGTCGAACATAGGGTTTGGGCTTTCTGTTCTGCTCCAGCAGGAGGAGCACTGAATTCATCAAACCTGAAATCATGTTCAGAATATGGATGCCCATGTGCAAGAGGCGCAGCTGTGGTCCGTTGGGAATGTCATGCATTCGCATGGACTTAGTTCCCTGACCTCGGAAGTACAAGGCCTGACCAGACAGTTCAAGAAGAATCCCTTCCCTTGTTAAATTGAAAAACATTTACTTGAAATCTATCTGTCTCTTTTTTGTGGCAGAAAGGTAAAATAAATCTATTAGTGCTCAGATTATCTTTTGGTGGAAATGGTTGAAAGGCCAGACTGCCAAATGTCCCATTTATGCTGGCATGTGGTACCCTTCCATGTTAATCATTTGGATCTCTCTATCTAGAAACGTAAGCATACACTTAAGTGAACCATGTACACTTGAATTCTGCACAATGGGAGAGATGTGTCCTGGTTTTCTGAGAAGAGAGTGTTGGAGTGTGAAGGCCTCCAGGGTGATGATGGGATTTTTTTATAAATAATATACTTTTCAAGAAAAAATAAAAAGAGAAAAAAAAAAGAAAAAAAAAATGGTTGGGAGCAGCTGCTCCAAGTGCAACCTGCTGTAACCAAGAATGTTGTTTCTATTTTTATAGAGGTTTTATACAGCTCCAGGATGGAGAATATTTATTACCTAAATTATTTCACTGGAAAAAAAAAAAAAAAAAGGCCAGGGTTTTGTAGAATCCTGAATGTGATTGTTTTACACACATAATGATGTGCATGATTGAAACTACTGATTTTCAGTGGCCTGTTTGCAGCCCAACAACTGCCAATGGGAAAGATTAACGCTGTGAACCAGTGGAGGAGAGCACTGCGCTCTGGGGTCTCTACAGTCACTCTTACCTGCTTTGCACCCTACCCACTGTACTATCCAAGACCTTTGTCCTGTTTTTCTTTTAACCTGGTGCTCTGGCCTCTTCAGTAATCATTTCAGTTGCCCTAAGCTAGATGTTTTAGCTTTTGTGTCCTATAGCCTGTCCTCAGTACTGCAACTTCTGGATCAAGCTCAGCATTGTTACARATAGGTGTTAACTCCTATTGACCTTAGGAGATTCACCCGTTTACATTGTGGCTCAGTTTGGTCAGTGATTCTTCCCAAACATAATCGCCATAGACACCTAACTTGGGCTAGCTTGTGTGCCTTACTGGCATAACTATATTTTAAGTATTGCCAAAAAGAAGAAAAAAAAAAAAACAGAAAACTATGCAGGTTAAATTTCTGAAAGGTGTGATCCTCAGATGGCTTTAATCAGTGCTCTCCTGCTCTCTTCAGCAGAGCTGCATCAGTTCTCACCAGCTGAAGATTTTGCCCTTCTTGTGTATTTGTTTCAGATTTGATCTCCCATCCCCTTTTTTTCRGTGTATCAATGTGTATGTTGCCAAAGGTAATAAATGTATCGAGTCTGTGACTGGGGCAGATTTTTTTTCTGATAATGCAATTGATCAGATAAGATCAGTATTTCTGGATCTGCTTGGTTGGTGGCTGTCACTGACTCTGGGGATTTCTGCCCTTCTTGCCTTCCAGTTTTAAGCCAGGTGTCCTCCTCRCTCATTGACAGGAAAGGTTGGGGGTCTGGGGGTTTGGTTTGATTTTTAGATTTCTGACATGTTCTCATTCAAGTGCAAAACAAACCAGTCATCTGTTTTAGGGCCTTATGGGGTAAACTGCCCAAGACATAGAAGCAGATTCTGAATTAGCAGCTGATGTGAGGGGGAAAAAAAAAACACTGAAATACTGAGTAATGCAGAGGAGGAAGTTTCTGCAGATCAGACTTTAAAATGCTAAAATGCGCTAGTAAGAATGAGATTGGGAGGAATGATTAAGAAAAAAATAAAGACATTAAAATAGCAGAAATATTTGGGGCAAACTTGATACTCTCTGCAATATTTTAATGTTGGAAGCTATCATTAGATATGTGTCTTGGTTATGACCTGTTCTTGGATCAGATTTCATGGATAGTAGGTTAGGAGTTGGGTAAGTTCAAGTAAACTGCAGAGGGATTTGCTTAAGTAGCCATATGGGCAAAGTATTTTGTATACTCAAAAGCAGAATCAGAATTTTCTACAACAAAATCTAGTAGGATTTCTGATGAAACAATTCCATGAGTGCATCAGGAAATGCTTATATGTTTCTAGGAGAGGAAAATATTTTTCTACTTGATAGAGTTTTTTTAAATCAAGACATTTGATTCTACTTGACATATCATAATAAGATGGGAGAATTATGAACAATCAAAGTCTTAGCCTGATGCTGCTTAGTATCTAGTGCTGTAGCAAAGTGACTCAGATTCATCAGCCCTGCAGGTAATAAGCAGTTTAAAAATAGGTGTCTCCATGCAGCTTAGTTTTCTAGTACTGCAGAGCTTGCATTATGAGACAATGGTTTGGGAGTCAGTATAGTTAAGCCGAAGCAGAATGAGGACTGTAACTTTTCAAAGATACATGAAACAAGCAATGAATATCTTTATATATCTTAACAATGAGATCTATTTACTAGCTGTTGACTCTATTACCTGGAAAGTAGATGAAAGAAAATTGCTTAAAAGAAAATATAAGTAAAAAAGATTTTTACCTAAATGATAAAAGTTATTTTGGAAACCTGCCTGCAAGACAGAATTAACTTGAGCATTTCTTCATGCTAATAGTTGTGACTTAGGGAAAGAAAGGCAAACACAATTCATTGGGTTGTGAAATTGTTCATARCTATTTCATTTGGAAACATCTAAAAGCAACTTGGACAAATCACACTGTAAATGAAAGATGCAGCTGTACACAAGTAATACGCTTTGAGAGCCTCCTGCTGCAGATATTTAAGGATGTTTTGCATCACTAATCAGACATACCACAAAGTGTAAAATACAGAATAAAGATGCACTGTTACCTCATATCTGTGAGAATAGAACAGGGACACACTAAAATAACTTTCACTAAGCTAATAAGCTTTTATTTCATGGCTCTGCTATTGTAGGCTGSTCTAAAGACTCTTTTTGCCCATCCAGAAGACCTTTAATGAAACTTGGTCTTCCTCTGAAATTGCTGAATTAAATATTTGAAAAAAAATATCCAAAACCTCTAAACAAATTGCGCAAGGGATTCCTGTGGTGCATGCAGATGTCACTTGATTTGTTGTTTTTCTCTTGTGCCTCAGAGTCCCTGTGATGAGTTTAGCTGTCTGGTTTATCGCTGAAAACTCACAGTTCTTCAGGCTACCTAGAGCATTCCTAGAACTTTAGAAATAACTGAGTTGCGTTGTASTGTGTTTGTTGGAGTTGGCTGAAGCTTCATTTTAAGTCCCGTCTCTAAATTAGGAACTATGAAGAGCACGTTCATCTCGGCAGTACTAGTAAGTTTGCAGGTTTAGTTGGCAATGTGCCTATTGCTTTGAAACTGGAGCGCAACACATGATATGTTCTCAAGCATGCTATAAATGCTGGAGGATAGCAGGAAAGCCTCTTGTTTTTCTTCAGCCTTTTAACTGGCAGCATTGAGAAGTGCTGAAGAAATAGGGCACCAAGGAGGAGATTTAGAAAAACTTAGATGAAATCTTCTCCCCTACCTCCCACATTCTCCCTAAAATAAATCATGTTGCTTCCATTCAGTAGTTTAGAGACTATGGGAAGGCAGCAGAGGTATTTATATTAATATAGATATTATTTTWAAAAAAATCAGCTCGAGGGCTTCAGGAAACATTTTTTTATTCATGAAACTGGCAAAAGTGACTGTAGAGCTTCTCAGAGCCCAGAATCCCCTCCTCACAAAGCCAGGGAGCTGGGGGCTGTTTATATAAAAGGTTGGAAAGGAAAACCCTTGTGCAGGTCTAATGGTGTGAAAAGGGCTCAGCTAGGACAAGTCTTAACTTGCAGTCAAGTCTTAAGGAATTCTTCTCTATTGTGTGGGGGTTTTGGTTCCACTTACTTGTCTTGTATAATCTTTTTATTTTCCCTCCCCCTGTTTTAAACCATCCACTCACAGTTTTCTGGGCTCCTAGGGAATAAGAGGGGTCTGTAGCCRAAAGAGGGCATGGATTTCATGGGCTAACACTGCCTAAGAACCTCCCATGATAGAATGCAAGCCAAGTCCCAGTCATCAAACCACCTGTGAATCCCTTGTGTCCTCTGTCTTGTCTCTCGTGGTCTTAATGTGTGGGCAGATGTTAGCCCTGGAGCCATATTTCCTTTTTTTTTTTTTTTTTTTTTTTTTTTTTTTTTTTTTTGGAGTTGGTCTCTTGGGAAAGCTGCTTGCTCTGCTCTTTCCCTGGAGCTCATGGAGAGCCTGGGCACGGGACAAGGGGGGCACACGGTAACCAGTGTGTCATGAGGCCATGGCGGGCCCCACACCCGCGTGCGGAGAGGGAAATCCAGGCCTCCCCTTCCATTTGGTTTCTGGCAGTTTGGTGTTTACTTGGTGTCCTTCATGTACTTCAACTCTCACTTGTCCATTGTTGGCATGTGCTGCCCTTCCCTGTCGACTCCCTTCCCAAGAAGGCCTCATTGTACGGTGCCCATCTTGTTCTCTCTCTCCGTGTTTGGATGTACTGCTCTGTGTAACTCAGTGGGTCTCCCTCTTTCTGGTTTGTTTTTTTTCTAGATTCCTGCCGTTTGTTCATCGTTGTGCCTAAAGCATGTCGATGTGGCGTTCAAGTACATCGTCCAAATCCTTGTCTCTTCAGCTTCTCTGATGCTTGAACTCTCACCTTTGACCTTGTGTTGACCTTTGATGCTGATGTGTATTTTTATTATGTTTGTTTCTTTCTTTGTTTTTTGGTTTTTTGTTTTTTGATTTTTTTTGTGCTGCCAAATTGGTTTTGCTAGAAAGACTGCTGAAGGGGAATATTTAAACTTGCATTTGAATATTAAAAAAAAAATTCTATTTTTCTAGACCTTCGTAAGATAACCACTTGATTTTGTGAATCTGATTCTTTGTAATTGTCTTCAGAGCAGCCTTGCTAGCATACCTTGTGGAGTATTTGTATTTCTGTGAACATACAGCCAATCACTTTCTAGGCTTAGTTTTTCCTGTGTGCTTAGTTTTAACAACAACAACAACAAAACAAACACAGTTTTGAAGAAAAAGTCGATTGTATGGTGTGACGCAATCTTTCAGGAGGCTTCCTAGTCACATTTTGCTGATCTGGTTTCTGTGCTTGAGGAGACAGCATGTATTTTTATGAGTTTAAACTCGTGACTTGAGTGGCATCAGCAGAAAACACTTGAACTACACTTCTGATTGTAGCTACATTTTTGCCCTGGCACTTACTGATCTTTTTTTTTTTTTTGCTCCCCCTCTTCCCTGTGTGATTATCAGTCTGCAGTGAAAATTTGATCAAAGGTGGTGGTGTATTTTGTTAAGCCCCAGCATGCTTGTTTTTTTGTAACTACAGTCTCCTCAGCAAAATGTGATGGTTTTGTTTTACTCTTCCAGACTAAGATAGTGCCCAGAAATGTTTTGCATGTTTCCTGCTGTTTTCTTCACACCCTCGTATATATCGCCTTCACCTCTCTGTTTTCTATAGTTTGTGCAAAAACTGAGCAATTTAATGGGTTTCGAAGATATCCTTTTAAATTGGTGTTTTGGGTATAACAAATATCCGATCAGAAGCCACCTGAGGGCATCTACCTGTGCACTTAGACTGTCTGCCTGACAGAGCACCTGGACCTTGCTCCATCTCTGAGGTGCCCCGGGGCTGGATTGCACTGCTGCCATGGCGGGAGTTTTGGTGGAAGGGAATAGCTGGGAAGCAGGAAAGTGGGGCAGTCCACAGTGTTTCTGTTTCCAAAGTTCTCTGAAACCAGGGCTCCTTTGAAACACATTTGACTAGTACTTTATCAAAGTTAGGGCATGCTTTGTGTGAAGTCCAGCCCCTGCTTAACATCATCAGTCAGACCTTGGTGGCAGGATCCCTG